TGTACGCTTCCGTCCATCTGGGAAGTCAGCTGTCCTTTTAATACCCAAAGTTCTCGACAGAGCATCATTGTGGGGGTACTGCAGGAAATTCACAAGGATGCTCCCTTAGATCCAGCCAGGTATTCTAGAGAGCTCCATCTGTTTCTGCCCAATGAGCATGCAGCAGAAGACGGGTGCATGGATGGCCAAAGGCAAACTCCATCCGTTCTTGGTGACCTGGTAAGTTACCAAACCTTGGGGCAATTTATGGCTGATTACAAAGGGTTTCTAATTTCCACCTGTTTGAATAATAGCAACATCTTTGAAAGTCCCACTCTCCAATAAAATATAATAAACCCCCATTTGGCCATGGAAATCTTAAAATACTCCTGGAAGCACCCACATACCTCAAAATCCCTGTTAGGGTCACCATAAGATGGAAGGAGCATGAAAACACACAAAACAAAATCAATTCCAAGCTCTGGGAGGAAAATGCAAGGCTGTTCTTTACAAACCTGCAGTCTGCATATCCCAAATATGTATGTTACCATGTCAAAGTAATAGATATATCAAGTGGCTATGGCACATTGGCAGACGTTTGGTTCTTTCCATGTTTTTGTTATACAAACTTTTAAGAATTCCCCCAAACTAAATTATTGAGATGTAATTTTTTTAAAAAACCCCACACCACTTCAAGGATTTAAATCAGATAAATAAATAACATGCTGCTATTGGTGTAAAATATATACGAGCAGGAAACACACATTTCCCTTGGGTTTTCTAGGTCAATAGCAGCAAAAAGGATCACCCGCTTCCAAGCAATCTGTTCACAATGTGGGTAAATGTCGAGGAACCATTACAAGCCATAGAAATCTTGGACTTGATGCCTGTTAATAATGTCACAGCTGGAGGAGGATGGAGGAATACACGAGGGATCCCCACAGAGGCATGAAGTTATAAAAGGCATGTAACTAGAACAAGCCATTCTTCAATAGGATTGCCATATGTGCCCCATTAGAAACTAATTTTGAGGAGCAAATATGCCTGACCTTTCACAGTTATTTGTCACCAGCGGAACCAAGGAATCCATGGACCTAGAGAACTAGCACTATGATATGTGCCCCATTAGAAACTAATTTTGAGAAGCAAATATGCCTGACCTTTCACAGTATTTGTCACCAGAGGAATCAAGGAATCCATGGACCTACAGGACTAGCACTACCATCAGCAAACCAGCATCTAGTGAGGTATTTCAATCTGCTGGAAATCAGATGATGTTCTGCAGTGCTAGGCCAAAAGACATAACAGCATGACATTTCTTTCCACAAGGAAATAAGGTTTGTTCAACATCTGAATAGCAAATAACTACAAACTTGATTTGTACAGTACTTCTTTTTTTAAAGGAATGACACACTGGGAGAATTAAAAAGATAAATCTCAAAATAATAAATCTAGACAAAGAGATAGCAGCAGCCCTGACTGTCAGCATTTTGGAAGTCTGCACGTCATTCCAGTGGTGCCACTAACTCTCCCCACCCCAGCCCTCCAAAAAAAGAAGGGAAAACAAGGAGAGTGTCAAGGCGATGAGCCACATTCCCCCACAATGAACACCTGGAGCATCTGTGCCCTTTCCACTCCGAAAGCAGGATGGCTGAGAGAGGCATGGTCTATATATAATTATGCATGAAGAAAAAACTTTCTCAACTCTGAAACTCAAGGTCACCCAGTATAATTAGTTCACAATGAATACTGCCAAGACAAAAGGAACTAAGCAATATTTAACTGGCAGGGCTCCATCACTGTCTTGTCACAGGAGGGGCTCAATGGAAACCTAGGAAATGCTGCTGCTCTCCAGTGAGACGTGGTTATTCTTCAATCCCTGGCTCCTCCAGTTTGTTTTAGCAGGATTGCATGCCGCAGAGCACTTTTGGAGTGCTGGAAGCCCCCCTCCCCAGGGGAAACAAGAAGCCCTCCAGAAGTGGCTAGTTTTGCTCTGTGCATCTGTCTCACTTCCCAACCCAAAATCAAAACCAGCAGTGCCCATCTGGGAATGCTGTCACCACTCCTGTTCTTTTACCATTTTGAGCCACCTCTGCACCGGGTGTGACCGAGTGGCAGGTGCTTCAGTTGTAGGATCTCTCCATGGGTCAGAGGGCTCCCCACCCTATAAGAGATTATAGGGTGGGGAACAGTGAGGCTAAACCATGTCCCCATGTCTCCTGTATCTGCTTCCTTTTCCCTGTGAGTTGGGACCCACTCAGAAGGAGAGCCTTCTCTGCTCTAGCAAGCCTCAAAGAACACTTGAATGTCCTTGGCCTTCCAGACCTTCAGCATCTTTTAAGCTCTGATGTGAACTGAAAGGAGCAGCTGGTCCTCTCTGTGATGCTCAGAAGTTAAACTGTCAGAGGCTCCCTGATTCACTCCCATTGTGGCTTGGTACAATAGATAACTCGACTGAAACACAAAAGGAGGAGGAGTTCAGACAGTCTTGTCCTCAGCATGTCTCCCAAAGGCACTCTCCAGTCTCCCTCCTTCTTTTAGGTCACTCTTGTTCTGAAGACATAATAATGTAGGTCGCTTTTAATGAGCTGCCTGGTGTGTGGTCCCTCCCTGCATCCCCCCCCACCCCTGTATTCTCAGGGATAATTTTCACAAGCCCATCTCTCCCCACGTTATCTAATCTTTTTGTTAATTCTCTCTTCTCCTTCCCCAACCATGTTAGGCTTTTTTGTGGGTAATGCAGATGGCCTCTCCTATAGCGGGATGGAGATCACTGTGGCAGATCTGACTTGGGATGTGGCAGCACTCCAAACTGATCTCTAAGACCCTTTAAACCAGAAGGCGCTTTTCCTTTCCTGCCTTTCTTTCCCCCATTTATTTTACTATGAATGGTCAGCGGGAGAAAAACTGCACTTTCTATTTCTTACTATATAATGACATTGCTCTGTTCTTGCATTTTGTGTGTGTTTTTAATGATTCCATAATCATTATTCATTAGCAGTTCTTTGCTGATCATCCCTCAATCCAAGACATTCTTGGCCACTAGGATAAATCTACACTTCAAATGTTTCTGTGGTTCTCAATGCAGCTTCCTTTAAAGTCCACAGTTCCATGGCATGTAGAACATACATAGAACTAGATAATGTACATTTTCAATGACAATTTAAGCCTTTGTTGCGTATTTTATTCTTAATTTTAAAGGAGCTCTTCTAGGCTATCTCTATTCCGACTTCATGGTACGGCAATGGGTTTCATTATTACTATGTATCATAAACTGTTTTCATCTTTCTACTGTATTTTAATTCAGACTTCCCAGGGACAAATAAACATTTTGATGTATAAATGGCGTCAATAGAAGATTCTTCTGCCACACATACTAATAGTGCATTAGAGCCTGGAGAAATTTCAGTTCAGATTGCAGCTGTGGGATGAAGGGTTAAAACCCTACCTTATGTGGGGAAGAAAGCTGATCTAATTAAGGAATTACCCCTCACATACTTTTCTTTCTACATACAGGTTCATACTCCTATTTTATTTTATTTCATTTCACTACTAAAAACCGAAGTGACTTTATTATGTTTTTCTTGGTGGTAAAGATTCAGCATACAATATTTGCTTTTACCCTTACAAGCAGCAAGAGAACAGCATGAATGAAACCCATTCCATTGTCAGCCTCCAGACACCCCAGTCTTATGCTATTCAGCTAGAACTATTAATAGGCATACTTCGGCTTTCTCACTTCACACATTGCTAGAGACATTGCACCGGGAATTACCTGTCAGTTGTTAGCAATATACAAACAGCAAACTTGATTGCATGATTTTGCTAATACTGATTGTATATTTTAAAAATCTAAATATGATGTGTGGTTTAGAGGACTCACAGGACCAACACAGGCAAAAGTACCACTTTGCAACTAGAGACAGAGCTGGCTTAAGCACTGAAGTATGGGCGATTTTCTTCCATTGTTTTTTACGGCTTTGGAAGCTGCAAATTAGCTTGCTTTGGCCTCGATCTGGAACAAGTGCCCTCTGTATGTATGTTAATTTTGCAAACATAGCGCCTTTGAAGGTACACCTCTGGAGAATTAATATGTTTTCACCTCCAGTATTGAAGTTGCTCACTTGTCTCTTTTAATTTGGAGACAGCAACAAAAGTGAGTGGCCCCATCTAATTAAAAAAAAGAGGCTAACCGTTTTGTGATCATTTCTATGCACACATGCACACACACACACACACACCTGTGTTTCTCTTGCAGAATTTCACTAAAAGGCTATTAGGATCAGACCCCTGCAATTGTAAGACAAATGTAGGACCACCACTTGTTTTTGTAACTCCCCCGCAGCCCAGGGAGCCTAAGCCACCACAACATAAAGACTCGTAAACAAGCAAACATCATCAAGTTCCCACATGCCGAACATACATCCTTCTTGAACTGCAAAGCACCGAGAAACAAGAGCTCACTGAGACTGAATTCTCATTTAGCATTAGGTTATTTTTCTGGGGATGGGAGATGGGAAAGAAAGAGAAGCCACTTTTTAAAAGTTCATATGGTGCCTCCTCCTTTAACCCATTTTCACCCTGGAGGAGAGGTCTCCAAGTAGAATACAGGAAGCATTCCATATGCCCAAATGCAGCCAGGCACAGACACCATCCATATGTATTTGTCAGATACAAAAGCCATAGTAAAACAGTGTTTTTCCTGCAACACAAAGCTGCCTTTATTATTTATAGAAAAGTCAGAATGACTTACATAAGGTTCCCCGTAGTCTTCCATCAAGGTAACTCCCAGTCACCCCATGCTGCTTATTTTAGACTACTACCTGGTTTCTCACCAAACACACATGTGCTTTCAACAGTTAGGCACACAGCTTGACCAGGCTTAAAAAAAAAAGACTGATGGAATATGGGGTAACTCTAGTGATGAGCTTGTTTAAAATGCTCCTTTCACCCGTTTGCCCCACTAAGCAATAGAACAGAGTAGTGCCCTCATGCCAGATGTTTGGGTGTCAACCTCCTACCTTGGCTCCATCCACACTGATTATTCGATAGCTGTTCCTTGTGCTGTCATAGAAGTAGGAAACAGTTACCGCCTGCTTGCTGGCAGGAACCCAGTTCTTCTTGGTGGTGGGATCAATTTGGAAGACATGTGCTCTGGTGGTGAAGATGGGCTGCTCTCTGGAATAGGGAGGGACAGGAGAAATGGAATGCATCATGAGTTTGTGGAAGATGGAAATGTCACGCCATTCTGCCCTTGATCAAGGGGAAGTTGATCAAGCCAAGCCCAATGATTGTTACTGTTGTTGTTTTTCAAGAAAAAAAACATTCACGATGAGAACTCTCAAATTCCAAAGTAGGAGAGCAAAGCCGCAAAGGTTTGTCACTTGAATCTCTTGTACCTATTCTGGGTCACATCATCCGATATGTCAGTTCCTTCCAGCCAACAGCCCTGGGATCTGCCAAAAATTACTACCATGGAACAAGCTTGCTTTCTCATTTCATGATGTCACTGACAGCCAAGTGCCATAGTTTAAGAATCCAATTCCTTCCCCCCGGCATGTCTCTCTGCTCCTTTTCTTAGCTTAATTTTCACTGTACTAAGTATTCTTTCCCATTTTGAATGTACTTTCGGGAATCTTTTCCTTGCTAATACATCTGCTGAAGAAGCTCTCCCTCTTCCTGTCACTGAATCTTTGCACATGACAAAGGACTCCCTGTACATCTGAGTGTACAAAAAGTCACCAACATGTAACAGTTCTTATCCAATTATATACAAAATAAATCCCTTATCCCCATTTGATTCTCAGTGACTTTTCAGTTCTTTCCCTATCTTTGTATCTATCTTAGCACTTTCTCCCTCAAGCACACCTCGGCTCTATTGCCTGGGGTTAATGAGAGTACTTCGAAAATTCTGGAAGGCCATCAAGGACAGGATCCAAAGGTGACCTTCTGATGCATCTTGTTGTTCTGGGCAGACTTTGTTGGGGAGGGAGTGTCTCTTCCTACAACATCATCCCTAGTAGGTTTGTCAGGTCTCAGGGCATCATTATGCTTCCACAAGTTTCTAGATAAGCAGAGAAATCTCAGGATGAGCAGCACCAGAGGAGAATAAATCTGGGTTCTGTGTGACTTGGAAGCTTGAACCATGCACAGAATTCACTACATTCACAACTAAATATTTTGTGTGACTGACAAGAGGATTAAGATTGAAGCAAGTTTTTGACACTGGACCACAATTCTTATTATTTTGATCTTTCATTCTGTAATATGTTTTTTTTTTAATCTGCAAACCCTCTGAAGCCAATATGGAGGTGCTACAAAGTTGGTGGGGGGATTGTTCCCTTACCCACACTACAGAACAAAACCTTCCATCAGGGAAACAATAGCCACTGGATTCTACCTAAGCGATCTTATCCATCACAGAAAACAAGATCTGTGTGTAAACTGAATGATAATGAATGGCATTTTTCAACCTGGTCTTCAGTCACAAAATCAAACATGCCCATGTTTAAGCTGTGAACGAGTTAACTCAGCCCTATTACTTTCCCAGCATAAACATGAAAGATAAGCACAGGGTTGAAATTAATTGCATGGATGCATTAATACTCCATCTGATCTGTTTGCTTTTGGGAGGTTTAAAATAATAGGTGATTGCAATTAACAGTATTTTGGTGGAGGCCACAGTTTACTAGGTATACATAAAACTAAGGCCATTATGTAAGCCTAAATATAAATTAATTTATTCAAATCAATAAAACACAGCATTTAAAAAACCCTTAATGATGAGTTTCAATCTGTGTATGCATGTGGTTTGCAGACAGGTTCATTGTATGTATATCTGTATCTATACAGATCTATGGATTCCACCCTTCAACAAACTTTCCCGAGCCAGCTATGAAAATTACAGAGACACCATGTTCAGAGATAGATGTTACCATGTTTCCTTGAAAATAAGACAGGGTCTTATATTAATTTTTGCTCCAAAAATGCATTGGGGCTTATTTTCAGGGGTTGTTTTATTTTACAGTCATGTCATCTTCTGGTTGCTGCACAAGGGTGGAGGCCAGGGTTTCACTTAACTGGGGCTTGTTTTTGGGGTAGGGCTTACATTACGAGCATCCTAAAAAATCATACTAGGGCTTATTTTCAGGTTAGGTCTTATTTTCTAGAAACAGGATAGATGGAGACACTTGCCCTGAGGCATGGATTAGCTTTCCACAGTTTGGGGGCAGGGTGGAAGGATACTAGAAAGGACAAAAGGGCAAAAAGGCTTTATAGCTGGAATCTTTAAACATGAATTCAGTCTGGTTTAGTTTTACATCACTTTGATTTCTAAAATCAAACTCTATTATATATTTACAGAACCTAGAAGTAACAATGAGTTGCAAATAACAAACATTACCAGTAACATATCTGGGATAACAATGTTACCAGCATTGTTACTTTTTGTAAAAAAAGGAAAAGGATACCACTGGCAACTGTGTTACATTTTCATTTTCTTGGTTACATTTTCAGTAACATTTGCTCATTATTCCTGCAGTGGACCATCCCACAGAAGGTCCTTTCCTTGCAGATGCAAAGAATTGGGACCACCTGCAACCCAACTTTATGTCCCATCACTCAGTTATGATCTCACCCATGTGCCCAGCAAGGGAGAAAGTCGAGAATCTGCCTGTTCTGTTCCTAGGAAAATAAACATAAGTAGATCAAAGACCATAGGTCTTTAAAGGGATTACCTGTAAACGTGCAAAAGGTGCAGGTTTCCAGGTTCCACAGAACTCTTCATATGGCCAAGTGATTAAAAAACAAGAACAAACCAACCCATAAATAATGTTCTGAACTTTCAGATCATAACTGCCAAGAATGCAACTGAAAAGTGAGAGCCCAAACATGATCTGCCTCTCAAGCCTTGATACATACAGATCGAACATCTTGTCCTGGAGGATGGAGCAAAAAACAAAAACAAAACAAAAACAAACAAACAAAAACAGCTAAAGGCCTGCTGTTTTGGTTTGGGGGTTGGTTGATTCCAATCCATTTAAACACTGAGCCTAATCAGAGAAGACAGGTAGGCCAATCAAGCCCTTGTATGCTGCATAGATGTGACTGAAGGACTGACAAATGGAAAGGAAAAAAAAAACCCACACCTTCCTATCCCGATACAGGTTGCAAACTGCCACACACAACCATGTGGCGATCATTTCTACTGTGCTGAAAATACACTTTGCACTTGCCACCTGCAAACGAAAAACACTTTAAAACAAAAGTTGGAATCGAGATGTACATCCTGCTCACATACTGATCAGTAAGCCTAGCAAGACACATTTTCTCCAGAATCTTAGTGCCTGAGGAGGAAACACAGCATTGAAACATCTGACTGTGATGGGTCACTCTGACAGTGTACAGGAGTCTGACAGCAACAAGAGGAAGTCTCGGAGCAAAGCCACCCAGCAACGGCCACCTTATTGGGTTTGTCGCTGTGTCACGCCTGCTGTAAGCCAAGCTTCTCATACACAGCACTGGCAGCTTTCAGGAAGGAAAGATGAAACGGTGAGGACAGGAACATGACTGACACTATGGGGAGAAAGGGAGAGCAGATGCAGAATGAGGCTTTGGTGGGAAAACAGGCAGGTGGGGAAGGATTAAATACTCCAACGCCCAGGCCAAAAAGGAGCCACTTTGTCTTTTAAGATACTGCAGGGATGGGAAATCAACCCTGAGTGCTCACTGGAAGGACAGCTCCTGAAGCTGAGGCTCCAATACTTTGGCCATCTCATGAGAAGAGAAGACTCCCTGGAAAAGCCCCTGATGTTAGAAAAATGTGAAGGCAAGAGGAGAAGGGGATGACAGAGGGCGAGATGAATGGACAGTGCCATTGAAGCGACCAACATGAATTTGCCCCAACTCCGGGAGGCAGTGGAAGACAGGACAGCCTGGCATGCTCTAGTCCATGGGGTCACGAAGAGTTGGACACGACTTAATGACTAAACAACAAGGGATGGGAGTGAGCAAAGAACAGCTTAAGTCCCTGCCTGGCACAAACAATATATTTGGCAGTTTGTGAGGTTTGTTGGAGGATCCCGGCAGCCCAAAAACTGGCCCTGGCTCCCCAAAGCTGCTTGCTCCTTTCAAAGATTCACATTTATCATATGGTTTGCTCCTACAAAGGGGCGGTGGAGGGACTAGATGTTGGGACCTTTCCCCCAGCAGATTTAAAGCACTACAACAGAAGCACAACCCCTTGTGGTGCGTGAACTCAACTCACTGGCACCACTAGTCAAGCAGGTTTTGTCAGGTTTGGAGAAGAAAGACCCTTGCAAAACCTGTTTGAATGGAGAGGATAGCAGGACAAGTGTGTGCGTGTGTGTGTTGGGGGGAGTGCACGCCACAGGGGTTGACCCCCAGAACCTGCTTATTACCCAGTGCAAACAAGCACTTGCCTTTGAGCATCACCACCATACATTTATTTGGGCTGTGCAGGGGTGGGAAGGCTTAAAACAAAACTGGGAGATTTAAAGGACTTAAAACCTTAAGATTTTAAATCAACTTATTGTCATGACTTATGTGATTTTACTTTACCTGGAGTAAAATCCCCAAAGGAACCTGTCCAATCTATATATTTATGCTGGAGAGATTTTTACATATATATTTATACTGGGGAGGTATATTTATGTATTTCCTACATAAAATTTAAATATTTTACAGATTAAATATGCAACAAACATAATGTGTTGCTATGCAAAATAGACCCATGAAGCAATAAAAGGCAGCTTTGGTCTTCAAGAAGAAACCGTGAAAGAGACTCATCGGCTTCAAATGCCTCGTGCTGGCAGATCTCATGGGAATGATGTTCCACAGATGGACACCACCACACCGAAGGCTGGTGAGATATGTCTACACAGAGGGCCTTTGTCTCTTCAGGATTCAGCTTCAGTTTTACTGACAGTCAAAGCAGCCCATTTTGGAGTCCAGGTCCCACCTGCAGGGCCTCTCCTGACCGGAAGGACCAGGACAGCCTATAGAATAACTTACAGAACAAGTACTCACACAATGCTGGACTGAGAACCTCACAACGTGCCAAAAATGCAGAACAGTGCATTCTCACATTCCCATGGCAACCTTCACACATGAAGGATGTACAGAATTGCAAAGTTCTTAAAAAATAACTCTGTGCACAG